ATCCAACAAATTAAATCAGAAATCTTGTTTGGTGATTCTATTGTGCATCTAGGTTAAGAGCCTTGAAAAAATGGGATTCTTTCCACCACAGGGAGTCAATAACAAACTTTCACCTATGTCTTCTTACACACAGCCATCTCATAGTTTATGTTATAACTGAAGACCCCCAAATTAAGATCAGGATCTCTTGTGATAACCAGGAGAAGAAATGAGAATGCTTTAACTACACTCCTTTTGAATAATCTCTTACACATTTCAGCCCTTTAGTCCTAACAATCAGAATACAGAAGAAAGGGGAACCTGGAGTGATTATGATAATAGTTAAAATCTATTGAATAATGACAATATATCATACATTGTTCAAAACATTTTTCATGCATTATCTTATTTTACCTTCACATTTTACCCTGTGTGGTAGGTACTGTAATTTTCTCTATATTATAGAATGAACAAAATGTATAGAGAAGAGAAATGACTTGTTCAAAATCACACAGCTAGTAAGTGGTCCAGCTGGGATTTGAAGCTAGGCAGTCAGACTCCAGGGTCCCAGAGAAGCTGATACCCACCAGTACCTGCTTCCTGTAATCTGTAATCTGTTTCTGCCAGACCTTCTGCCCCAAATCCAAACTGATCTATCTTTTGGAAGTGGAGCTGGATGCCACCCAAATCTTCAAGGCCCTTTTATTAGTCTCCTAAAACATACCCAAGCCTACTAACAGTGTTTCTGTATCCTCACGACACACTCTTGCCTTGCTTTCCAGGACCCTGTTGATGTTAGACGTTCCTCTGAGCTATCTTATTCTAATTGCTTGAGCTGAAAGAGAAAGACCCAAGAAGCACATTTTTAAACCCCATTTTTCCTCTCTGAATGCTCTGGCCTCTTGGACCTGAGTTTTCTTGTGCCCTTAATCCTTATCTGAGTTCTTCTCCTCTCCTCAAAGATAGATATAGGGAAAACTTAAAGTTAGACTGAAATTGAGCAGGGTGTTTAACCAACTGACCATGTACTTAACCTCTGTTACCCTTTTTTGTTTTTAATAGTGATTGAGTTTCATTGAATCTTCCAGTGATTTTAGTGCCTTAAATATTCTTTATTTAACATAATGCCTTTAGAATGCTAAGTATCAGGAAGCCTATTTTTAATTTATCAATAGTCTTAATATGCTTAAGCATACTTTACTTTTGAGGGGAGAATTAATCTTTTATCACAGATTAATGGTTTAGATGCTGTTGGTTTCATAGATGCTGTTGGTTTCATTATTTTAGGAAAATGTTCTTATGATTGTTTTAGCATTAATGCTATGCACATACCTCTTTTTCCAATATCTGTTCAGCATAGATAAGGAAGATACAAAAAGAGTGACCCATACTAAAGCTAATGCCAAAGAGATGTAAGTTGCAGCTGTTTGAAAAACTAACAAAGATGTTAAACTTGTTGATTTCATCTGGACTGTGAAGAAAATGAATCTGAAATTAAGAATATGATGGAGAATATTTGGACTTTTTAAAATAAGCTACATCTTTGGGAAACCTTGAATATTTAAGCACAATTACAAGAAGATAATTCTATAAATGGAAATTTTTTGGAGGTGGGGAGATAAAAAAGGAATTTTATTCTGCCATTCATGTGAAGCAGGGCTGCTTAGAAAAACCAAACACTGTCAGTGTAACTTCTTGGCAGCACTGGGAACTCAAGCTTTCACATGCTTATGAATCAGTTGGGGACCCACTGAAAATACAGTTCCTTGGGCCTTACTCCTTTCAGCTCTGAGTTTTTAATATAATAAAACTCAGGATTGTAATACTCAAGGTTTTTTTCAGGGTTCTCCACAGAAACAGAACCATTAGGATATTGTCTATATGTCTATTGATATATTTTTTTAGAGATTGATGTTAGGAATTGGCTTCCATGATTATGGAGATCTCCATTTGGCAATCTAGTGTTCCGGGAGAGCCAGTGGTATAGTCTCAGCCCAAGTCTGAAGGCCTGAGAAGTACAAAAACTAATGGTGTAAATTCTAGTCCAAGTTTGAAGACCTGAGAACTGGGAGAGCCAATGGTGAAAATTCCAGTGCAGGTCTTAGTCAAAGGCAGGAGAAGACTAATGTCCTACCTGGAAGATAGGCAGAGAGAGCACTAATTCTCCCTTACCCTGACTTTTTGTTCTATTCAGGCCTTTGACAGACTGGATGAAGTTTCTCTCCATTGAAGAAAGCAATCTGCTTCACTCAATCTACTGATTCAGTTGTTAATATTACTCAGAAACTCTCACAGAAATACCCAGAATAATGTTTAACCAAATATTTGGGCACCTCATGGTATAGTCAAGTTGGTATAGAAAATTAATCATGGTACAGATCAAAGTTGAGTCACTGGTGTAAAAAATGTGCCTCCTCCCACTTTTTAAAAAAAGTCTTCATAAAACACATGAACAATATCAGAAAATAAAGCCACTAGTACAATGATATTTTAAAAATCAGTATATTAAAATAATATAAGTATACCCTTTGTCTAAAAATAAATAAAATAAAGTAGAAGTAAAAAGTATGATGGAGTACATAGAAGGAAAAAAAAATTATTTACTTCTTTCAGTATTTGCTACTAAGTACCAGGGATTATTCTAGCTGCCGATGGGGAACTAAGTAGTTTTCCGGGACATAGGACTTTCAGTGCTAAGACTGAAACTGTCTGAGGCAAACCAGAATGGTTGGTTATTCTAGGGGAGAAGGAGGGAAGAGTTATCTTCAAAGGGGAAGACCGACAAACTAATATGTGAGTAAGTGGGTAATGTGATTAGTAGTGATAAGTGTTATGAAGAAAATCAAAGTGTGCTCAGAGACAGAGAGGGTCTAGGAGAGTTATTTAGGAGCCATAAGATTAGATTTGATCAGCTAGGGAATGAAGTAAGATGGAAAAGAGAAACGAGCTGAGGACTGAGATGAGATAGACTCAACCAAGTGACCAAGAGCCAACAGTAAGGAAGGAGGAAAGCTAGAATAGTGTGATACACAAGAAGCAACTTAATGAATTGTTTCCAGAAGACTCATCAACTGGAGTCAGTTGATGTTGCTGAAATGCTGGGATGAAAACTCAGATTGACCATTTAATTAATAGAATGGTGACAGTGATTGAGAAGGACAAAAACTTGATTACTGTGAGATCAAGAGGCAGTGGAAAATGTGTATATTAGCTTACTAGGGCTGTTATAACCAAGTACCACAAACTGAGTGGCTTAAACAATAGAAATGTATTGTATCACAGTTCTAGGGCCTGGAAATCCAAGATCAAAGTGTTGTCAGGGCCATGTTCCTTCTGAAGGTGCTGGGAAAGGATGTGTTCCAGGCCTCTCTGCTAACTTCTGGTACTTTTTTGGCAATCTGGTGTTCCTTGGCTTGGGGCTGCATAACTCAGTCTTCACATGGCATTCTCCCTGTGTGTGCATCTATGTTCCATCAGTTATGTTGGACTGGTAGCCCACTCCACTACAGTACAACTTCATTCTAACTTAGTTATTTACAACTATAGCAGCCCTGTTTCCAAATAAGATCACATTGTGAGGTGCTGAGGGTTAAGATTTGAAAATAGGACTATTAAGACAAAATTCAACCCATAAAAATATCGTATATCCATACAATGGAGTATTTTCAGCCTTGAAAAGTAAGGAAATTCCAACACCTGTTATAACATAGATGAACTTTGAAAACTATGCTAAGTGAAAGAAGCCAGTCACAAATGGTCACAAATTGTGTAGTTATTTTTATATAAAGTGTTTAGAATAGGAAAATCCAGATTGTCAGACTTGGTGGCAGTGGGAAATAGGGAAATGACCGTTAATGGGCATGGGGTTTTTGGAGGGTGGTGAACATATTCTGGAATTAGATATCGATAATGGTGTATAACCTTGTGAATATACTGAACTGTACACTTTGAAAGGGTAAATTTTATGGTGAGTGAATTAAACGTCAATAAAAATATATATATTGGCTGGGTGTGTTTGCTTACGCCTCTAATCTCAGCACTTTGGGAGGCCGAGGAGGCTGGATCACTTAAGGTCAGGAGTTTGAGACCAGCCTGGCCAACATGGTGAAACCCTGTCTTCACTAAAAATACAAAAAAAAAAAGGCCAGGCACGGTGGCTCATGCCTGTAATCCCAGCACTGTGGGAGGCCGAAGAGGGCGGATCATGAGGTCAAGAGATCGAGACCATCCTGGCCAATATGGGGAAACCCCATCTCTACTAAAAAGTACAAAAATTAGCTGGGCGTGGTGGTGTGCGCCTGTAGTCCCAGCTACTTGGGAGGCTGCGACAGGAGCATTGCTTGAACCCGGATGGCAGAGGTTGCAGTGGGCTGAGATCGTGCCACTGTACTCCAGCCTGGTGCCTGGTGACAGAGCAAGACTCTGTCTCAAAAAAATAAATTAGCTGGGCATGGTGGTGCATGCCTGTAGTCCCAGCTACTTGGGAGCCTGAGGCAGGAGAATCACTTGAACTTGAGAGGCAGAGATTGTAGTGAGCCGAGATTGTGCCACTACACTCCATCCTGGGCAACACAGTGAGACTCTGTCTCAAAATAATAAAAATAAAATAAAAATAAAAATAAAACAAAGAAAACCACAAAAACCAACCAAACAAATATGTGTGTGTGTGTGTGTGTGTGTGTGTGTGTGTGTGTATGTGTGTGTATACATATATAAAAATGTATGTATTTTGACAGAGGGAGGGTAGAAGGTAAAGAAGTAGAGGTAGCCAGTGTCAACATCACTGAGTCATTTTCTATGAAGAAGTGTAGAAACATGGGATGATGAGAAGTGGATGTAGGGTCAAGAGAGGACTTTTAAAAACACAGGAATATTATAGCATGTTTGTACGCTGACTCAAACCATCTAACAGAGAGGGAAATAGTAGTGATGTAAGGCAGGGCCGAGGGGATTTTCAGGAGCCAAATCCTTGCGTTCATTGAACTATCACCTTGAATAACTTTATCCATGTCTCTTCCTAGGTAACAGATCAGTCGGTGAAAGCATTTGCTGAACACTGTCCTGAGCTTCAATATGTAGGCTTCATGGGTTGTTCAGTCACTTCTAAAGGAGTCATTCACCTAACCAAGGTAGGTACTATGGCTACTTTTTCTTGGTGAGCCCTAAATTGTTGAATTCACTTGAATAAGGGATAGTCAGATCATTAGAGAAGTATACTAGCATTTGATAAAGTTAAAATGAGTTGAAGAAAGCAATACCAAACTTATAGTTTCTGAAATGGAATACTCATTTAAATGAGAAGCTTTTTGCTTTTTCATTGCTAATGGCTATGAAATATATATCAAAGAAATATATATGACAAGAATCATTTAAATGTAATACTTTGTGCTTAGAAGATATTTTGATTGATTGAATTTTAAGTGCTCATATATCACTAGATCCTATGAGTATTTGGCTTTAAAAAGTGAATATGGTCAGTGCATATGATCAAGTTAAATATGTAAAGTGAAAAGAGAGGTGAATATATGACATAAACTTACATTGTCGTTCAGAGAGTTCACTAATATAACAATTATATGAAATTTCATATTTTTAGAAATGATCAAACCGCCAGTTCTTTTGTAATCTCTCACGGATGTGTCATCTCTACTGCTTTCCAGAGCTTTAAAATAATTAGAAGCCAACTCTCACATCTGTGTAATGGAAAAAAATAGCTACTATAAAATTTACCCATGTATTATCTGAAATTTGTTGCTGTATACCCTTCAGTTCTATCCTATAGTACCTAGGAAAGTGAGTGTGAGTCTTGCCTTTTCCAGCTTATAGCTAAGCAACCTTTTTCTTCAACCTTCCTTCATTTCACAACTATTAGAAAGCTGCTATATTGGCAACACAATGATGAAAAAAAAAACAGGTAAAATCCCAGGTCTCTTTCAGTTTGATGTCTTCAGATCTCTTTGAGCTTATACTTTAATGGGATATAATGTCTTTCTTTACTCCCTAGGAAATGAGCAAATATTTATGAGTTACCTAGGACTATGGTAGGGCCACACAGTGTATAGGACCCTGGATGCCATTATAACCTCAAGTTGGATTATTGGGTCTATTACTTAGCTAAGTGGGAAAATTATTTTTTAGGGTATTAAATAAGGTAATATATATATAAGATGATTGAATGAGAGTAGAGACTACAGTAAATATTAACTATTAATATTAAAACAAATGTCAGCAGGGCGTGGTGGCTCATGCCTGTAATCCCAACACTTAGGGAGGCTAAAGCAGTCTGATCACATGAGGCCAGGAGTTTGAGACCAGCCTGGCCAATGCAGTGAAACCCCATCTCTACTAAAATACAAAAATTAGCTGGGTGTAGTGGCGTGTGCCTGTAATCCCAGCTACTTGGGAGGCTGAGATGGGAAAATTGTTTGAACCTGGGAGGTGGAGGTTGCAATGAGCCAGGATTGTGCCACGGCACTCCAGCCTGAGTGACAGAGTGCGACTCCGTTTCAAAACAACAACAACAACAACAACAGCAACAAAAACCAGATGCCATAGTATCTAAATTGCTAGAAAATTAGTACAAAATTTGATTTTGAGAAATCAGATCACTATTCTAGTATAGTGTATCTAAAAGAGAGCCTGCGGTTGTACTGTGTCTTAAAGGACTGGTTAGCTTTAATTTTATTTTGAAGATCAGAGCCTAAAGCTAGAGGAGAGGATAGGCCTGTTATTCTCAATTATTGCTCTATCAGAACATCTTAGTGTAACCAAGACCATATGTAACTATAATTTTTAATTCATTTTCTATAACCTTGGCCTGAACATCTTGGTAGATGAGTTTTTCTAGTCACATTTAATGCTGTTTATGGTGTAGAGTAAAAATGCCTTTGGTTGAACAGATTGTACACAACAAGTGTTGTGATGGCCATATGTGGGCTTTTTATGATCACTTGAAATTGTACTCATTAACGACAAAACAAGACTTATTAGATCAGCGAGTGCTTCCCTGAGCATTTTGAGCTGGCCAAAAATTATGGTACACTGGTACTTAAAAGATCACAATTATTCTCTGTGATAAAACACAGCTACAGCAAATGTCTATATTGGAAAGCTCAATTTGCTGAGATGGTTCTTCTGAAGATTATGGGCAAGGATTGCTGGTTTGGTCTGTCAACACTCAGAATCTATTGGATTCAGAGTTAGTCCACAAAGTTTTGAGTAACATCTTTGTTCTTTAATAAAGCCTTTGCTTTGATGAGAAAACTGTTGTACAACTAAGCGACTAGTGTTGCTTAGTTTTCTGGATTCAAGTAAAGGCAAGAAGATATTTTATACATGCATAGGTTCTGCAAAGCTGTTTTAATTGGTTTATCTCTTGAAAAGGGTAGAACTCGGTTTTTAATAAAATTCGTGCATTTTATTTTATGAGATTTGTATTCTTATAGTGTTTTCATACCAGTTAACTAAGACATTCACAAAAATGTTTGTAATTATATAAACACCCCTTAAAAAGTTGTGTTTTCCTTATCATCGTAGTACATAATAAAATAAATAATCAGGAAGATGTGAGATATAGATTGTTGAGAGCTATCAACCTAAATGTGTTTTTACATGATTTAGAAAAATCTAACACATGATGTCACTACATCTCTGGCTTTTTAAGTTTACTAAGAGAGGCAAGGAGCATAAAATCTCTGTATCTTAGTTCTCTGTCTTTGAAATTATGTGCCTGTATTAGATGATCTGTTGTCAGATTTGGAGTTCTTACACTCTGAAGAATTTATGAATTTATGAATCATTGGCCTGGAAGGGACTATGAGGGGCTCTCATGGAAACTAAGAAATATCAAGTCTAATTTAGTAGGTTAGAAGGGAAAATTGGGGATTTGTGATATCTTAGATTGTTAAATCAAGGGCAGGAGAACTGATGATTGGGAATAGATGGAAGGACATTGGTGTCCTCCTGTGGTCCCTTGGATTTAATTTTATTTTGATTTATTCAGGCTTGACTGAATTCTGTTTTACTTTATATTATTTACTGATGGCACACCATTGTTACTTAGATTCTGCTAATATCAAGCAATATTAGGATAAGAAGCCTTCTTTTTAAGCTGCTATGACTGTGTAAACGAGAGTCCAGAATTACCAGACTGCATGCACACTGGTTGATAAGATAAAGTCAGATTTATGGGACAATGTTTGGAAACTTAGAGGTCCATATTTAAGAAGCAAAGATAAGAATTTTTGAGGCCTATATGTAACAGTTAAGAGTATTAGTGACTTGTATGTGGTAGCATTGGGTCTCCTCTAACACAAGGGTGTTCTTTTCATTGTAGTGTACCTGTTATATAAATATAAAATCTCTCTATCTTGCTCTCTTTTCCACTTTTAAAAACAAGTTCAGAAAATGCAAATATATAGTTACCTTCAGTATTTAGACTGTGGGGCCCGCATGTCATTTGCCACTAAAGAGACTAGAAGGAACATGTCAAAGGACCCAAAAGCCAACGTGAAATAGCTCCTACTGACTTAAGCTGGGATATTTTGAGCATTGAAAAGGAAGATTCTGCAAAGAATTAAAATAAATCAAATGGGTTTATAATGATATAAGCAAAATGAAACTGAAATTCTTCCAGCTTACGTGGAGTAACAGGCCATTTTTTTTTTTTTGAGATGGAATCTCACTGTGTCACCCAGGCTGGAGTGCTGTGGCACAATCTTGGCTCAGTGCTATCTCCACCACCTGTGTTCAAGCAATTTATTACCTCAGCCTCCTGAGTAGCTGGGATTACAGGCACCTCCCACCACATCTGGCTACTTTTTGTATTTTTAGTAGAGACAGGGTTTCACTATCTTATCCAGGCTGGTCTTGAACTCCTGACCTTGTGATCCACGTGCATTGGCCTCTCATAGGGCTGGGATTACAGGTGTAAGCCACTGCGCCCGGCCAGGGGCCAAATTAACTCTCTTTCCTGGAAAAAAAAAAAAAAAAAAAAAAAAAGAAACAGACAAAATATATGAAACAGGGTTTTTAAGACACTGGATATCAGGCAACCAAGGACATTGGTCCCCCACGATATGGGAAAAAGGCAAGAGGAGTGCTATGATTGTCTCAGTTTACTGCATTGAAGGAGTTTCCATACTGCAGCATAGGAAGGGGCTAACTCAGGTAATGCATAGCAGACTGTCTGAGTTGACAAAACAGAACAGAAAGACCAGGGAGACCAAAACAGCCAGATTTCAGAGGACAGAACACTGGAATGGAAAGAACTGCATAGAGAATCCCAGAGATCTGTGGGTGACTCCTCTTATGCATTCATCTAAATAACCTGTGAGTAAAGACCAAATCAAAAGAGAAATTAGGAAGTATTTTGAAATGAATGAAAAGTGAAAACACATTGTATCAGATTCAGTGTGATGCTACTAAAGTACTACTTAGATAAAAATAATGAAACAAATACCAATATGAGAAAAAAGAAAGATTTCAAATCATGACTTCAACTTTTGTTTTGTGAAATTTGAGAAAGAAGAGCAAATTAAACCCAAAGTAAGCAAAAGAAAGGAAATAGTAAAGATCAAAGAGGAAATCAATGAAATGAAAAGCAAAAAGAAGAGAGGAAATTATGAAACCAAAAACTAGTGATTTGATAAGACAGATAAAATTGATAAATCTCTAGTTACACTGATCAAAAAAAAAAAAAAAGAGAAGACATAGTTGCCAATGTTATAGCTCAGAGGACAAAAATACAGATACTACAGGTATTAAAAGGATAACAAGGATAACAAGGGAATATTATGAAGTCTTTTTTTTTTTTTTTTTTTTTTTTTTTTTTTTTTTGAGATAGAGATTTATTCTTGTTTGCCCAGGCTGGAGTGCAATGCGATCTTGGCTTACTGCAATCTCTGCCTCTCGGGTTCAAGTGATTCTCTTATCTCAACCTCCCAAGAATCTGGGACTACAGGGGCCCACCACCATGCCCAGCTAACGTTTTGTAATTTTAGTAGAGATGGGGTTTTACCATGTTAGCCAGGCTGGTTTCGAACTCCTGACCTCAAGTGATCCACCTGCATCAGCCTCCCAAAGTGCTGGGATTACAGGCATGAGCTGCCACACCCAGCCAATGAACATCTTTAGGCCTATCAATTCAACAATTTAGATGAAATGGAAAATTTATTTGAAAAACAGACTACCAAAGCTCACTTAAGAAGAAATAGATAACTGAATACCCCTGTATTTCTTAAAGAAATTGCATCCGTAGTTAAAAATTTTTCACCAATACTCTAAGCCCAGATGACTTCATTGTTGAATTCTGCCAAGTATTTAAGTAATAACTAATACCAATTCAACACAAGTCCTCTAGAAATTAGACTATTATTACCCACATAAAAAACTTGATAACGACACTCTAAGTGAAGAAAATTGAACACCACTATCTTTCATGAATATATATTCAAAAATAATAAGCAAAAATTTGGAAAATCATATCTAATAATATTTTAAAAGGATAATATGCCATGATCTAATAGACTCCAGAAAAGCAAAGTTGGTTAGGCACTCAGAATGAATCAAAGCTAGGAGATCAATACACAAAAATTTGTTGTATCTCTATAGCAAAGGAAACAGAGTGAAAAGACAGCCTGTAGAATGGAAGAAAATATTTCAAAACCATATATCTGATAAGGAGTTAATATCCAAAATATATAAGGAACTCAACTCAATAGTAAGAAAACAAACAACCTGGTAGAAAAATGGGCTAAGTACCCAAATAGACATTTTTCAAAAAGAGACATACAAGTGACCAGCAAGTATATGAAATTAATGCTCAGTATCACTAATCATCAGGGACATGCAAATTACAACCACAATGAGATATCACCTTACGCTTGTCAGAATGTTATTATTAAAAAGAGGAAA